CACTCACTATTATTATATCTATTATTATATTATTATATATTATAAGTTAGGACACGTCAAAATAGTAATTACAAGGTTGTAACACATTTTTTATTTTGGTTGTGCAAATTAGTACAACCACAATGAATCTGGAGTCTTTTCGTTGCGCTAAGACGCTAGCGTCTAAAGATAGCGTACTTAGTCGGTTTACCGCGCTCTAAAAATTGTTTCGGCGTATTTAAATTAGTTTCACCGCGTATGTAGGGCGTAAAAAAGGTGTGTTTCACTCTTCCTTTTTTTAATGAGCAGAACTGCACTGCAGTAAGTCGAGCGCCGTAGTGTCGTTTACTTGTTGTGCCTAGGTCCACCGTTTCCCCGCAGCGAGGCTCCCCCCGTTGACAGTTTACGTGGGCTGGGCTGGGTGCAGTGGCGGACTGGCCATCGGGACGAATCACGATGGGCCGGTACCGAAGTGGGCCGGTCGGATAAGTCACTAGCACATCCCCCACTCCCCCCGTTGACAATTTACTAGTTGTACCGAAGTGGGCCGGTCGAGACTCCCGGGCTGATTTTTAGTCCCAGTCCACCACTGGCAACATGACCGTATGATCGCCCATATTGACGCACCTAATTCCTAAACTTCTAACAGATACAAAATAAACCGATCCTTCAGCCTCATATGAGCTCTCAGACACGTTCAAAATTAAACTGTCATCGCTGTCTGAGCTTGCTTCTGTGTGCGCCATCGTGCGTTTACATGCAGATGCTGGGATCCTGAACGGTGCAGCTGGAGCGCTGTGCCCGCATTGACGTCACCCATAATTTGGCGGGACTTGAAGAATCCCCGAGAAGATCCAGGAAATGGTCAACATTGAAGGGCAGATTAACGGTTATCAAAGTACAAATATCCAAAATCAGTTCAGTAACGGTTTTCAAGGGGACAATATTTACTCAAATTGATGGGTTTGGATGATGGGGGAAAATCGTGTCACAGGCTCTTTAAGTTACAACATGCTTACCGCAATAGTGGTCCGTGTAGAAAAACCCAAAATGCCTGTATATGTGTGTTTGTAAGTGTTGTTAAATGTTGATATATCTTTAATACCAGGAGGATTTGGACAGGAAAAGGAGATAAACAACAATCAAAATATCTCATCAGGGGAAAACAAAACCCATCTCTGCCTCACATAATCTCTTTTGATGTATGCGGCTATAAAAATGAAACACAAACAAAATAATATCACCTGTAAATAAAACTAAGGATCAATATACAATCAATAGCTTAAATCCAATAATAATAGCAAACTTTAAGAACAGCATAAAGGGATCATACAGTGGTCAGATAATATTTCAGGCATTTTTTTAAGCAATGCTTCGAGGTACAATATTTTGTAAATATGAAAAGCCAATCCAGATTTCTGTTCCCCTAAAACGAATACTGAGTTTTCATCTGTGAAGGTAATGGTCCTGTGTGTTGGCACCATGAGTGTTTACTCCTTTTTGAGGGGAAAACAACCTTGTTTATTAAACCCAGGCGGTACCAAATAAAAGCACCAAAGTTTGTTTACTGGTTACATACAAATGTGTTCCATGGACAGCAAATAACAATAAAACAAATAAAAGCCGAGCCGGAAGAGCCTTAAACAATATGATTATTTAACATATACATTATCATCATTCACATGTGCAATGGTGTAATGTAATTAAGTGCATTCAAACAAGAATTATATTCAGGTACGAATTTTAAGTATTTAATTTAAATGTCTTTCATCTCATGACACTCAAACAAACGAAAATTAAGAAGATTATAATATATGAAGATCTGTTATCAATTGAGCGGAGCGTCTATTTGCACGTTCACAATTACCAATGAAGAATGACATTTCCAAAAATACCAAAACATAATGAAATGTATGCCCGGGTGTAAATAGAATACTACTATAGTCTCCCTGTAGCAAAAAGTATTGTTCACTATAGTCAACCGGGTGTATATAGCATTGATGACTATTTTCACCCGGGTGTAGTGTTTGCCTTACGTAATACAGTTTATGGAATATGAGCAAAACATTTTTCAAATTTCACAAAACAAAACTTAAAGTGGACCTATCATGCTATTTTTAGGCAATAGCATAGGTCTCAGATATATATATTAAAAAAATATAAAAAACATGTCTATGAAGTGTTTTGCTCAAAATACCAAACAGATCATCCATTCTAGCCATGCCTCATATCCCTCTATTTCACTTCCTGTTTCAAAAGTGCTGATTTGGGGTATAAAGCTTATATAAAAAAAAAAAGGAGGAGGGCGCTGAGCTCATGCGGGAGATTCTACCGGTAGATTCTGCCGTGATGAAACG